ACAACAGAGCACGGGTCCCTTCTCACTCCAAGTGCAGTTCTGCTCATCCTGGCCATTCTCACAGTCCTTGAAGCCATCGCAGACCAGAGGGCCCTGCTGCCTGGAGGAGCTGGTGTTGCAGGCAGGTTTAACAGGTACTGGAATGAAAAAAGACACAGGGCTTGTGAGCCTGGGACATCATCTGCCTTCTCCCATGACCAGGAGTGCCCTTCTATAGGGACAAAATATTAAGATGACAAACTAGAGAGTGATTTTTCCTCAACAGCAGCACCTTCATGAGGAAAAGCTGATATTTAAACTTTGGAGCAAATCCTAGCACTTGAGTTTGTCAGATCTGATTTTTGCAATTGTGAGATGTGTTGAACTCTGATGGTTTGCTTATTTAATTACAATTAAATGCATCTGAAGTAATCTATTTTCAGAAAAATGAATATTGTAAGCTGTTATCTAAATTGAACTTGTCTCCCCTCCTAATGGAAGTGTACTGAAATTATCTTATTCATACCTGTACCCCAGGCCCCTGATCACATAGGAGGAGTTCAATGAGGTTTTGTTGAGTGAATTCATGAATGTGAGATCTTAGAGAAAAATAGACTTGTGGTCTGTGTGTAAGGAAAATCTTCTGAAGATGATTTGTATCCTTAGAGATCTATTTCCTCAATTAGGAAATGCAGAAAAAAAATCTGAAAATAGGAAAAAATATTTTCCCTTTTTGGAATATTTTCTTTAGATTGAAGGCAGACATGGTATATTAGCAAGTACTTTCAGAAATTGTGGTTCTTTAGACATTTCTGACTATAGACCACACTTCTCCCAGGAAGAAGCCCTGCTGGGAAAAGTCATTCCTTTCAATTGTATGTTTGGGGGACGGGGCACCAGTTGTGTATCAAATACTTTTAAAAACAAATTATTGATACTAAAAAGAAAGAATATAAAGACAACCTCAAGAATGAATAGCTTTTAGTAGACACAGGAAATAAAGAAAGGCTTTCAAATCAGATGAGTAAACTTAAGTATCTGTTTGGAGAACGTGGAGGGGGGCATTGGAGAGTTAGGGTGGTTGAAGTATGGGGATCCCTATTTGGATTGGGGAGAGCCTAGGAAGGTCTCTCAGGATTGGCATTGGAGGGGTTGCCTGTCTTTGCCAATGGAATTATTATGGGACAGATTACCCTCCCTTAGTTATTACCAATGTAATATTAATAGAAACTATGTAGGTTAAAGACAACAACAATGAAAAAACTATCATTCATAAACAAACCCTGTGCTCCATAAAGAGGAATGCTGAGTTTACTTTTTTGCAGATTCTGAGCTGCTCTCAAGATAAAAGATCTGTGACTTCAAACAGGATTGTTGTTAGAAGAAGAAGGAGGAGGAGGAGGAGGAGGAGGAGGAAGAGGAGTAAGAGGAGGAGGAGTTGTTGTTTGAGAGTTTTAGGTAACCATAAATTCTACCTAAAATTAAACTGAATAAATGATTCCAGAAAAATAGATTTGGAAGAGATTCTGAATAATTTTGTTTTGAAATCTTTCAGAAGAGTTTTCATGATATTTTGGTAGTAGTTTAGTCTCTACTGCTGAAATGTATGTTTACTGGATTTATTGAACCAGTTTCCTCTAATGCACTTTCACAGAAAATGTTGTTTTCTAAGATTTTAAGGTTAACCTTGAAAATGCATTGTCTAAATGCAGAATAAAAATCCTAATAATTTACCTTTCCATATACCATAACAGACATTCAAATATTTTTGGAGTCATTTTTATATACTAAGAATTATGTAACTTGTTTTATAAAAATTCAGAATGTATCAGGTGCTATTAACTGTCAAGTACCAGTGGAAAATAACATTTTTTTTAATAATGTACAAAACAAACAAACAAAAAACGATTGTGGTGAATTAAGCTATTAATCACAGAT